GAAGTTCTCACAAAAAATTTCGAAAAGTTCTTCCTCATCAAATATATCAGTAATATTACAACTGAAACTATGTTAGTTTTTTATTGAATGTAAAATTTGCAGAGTATTACCTGCTGCAAATGGTTCATGTCCAGAACCTCCACCAGCAAGTAACGTGACTTGTTTTCCTCCTTTCAGCTTATCAATATCAGCTCGAATAACGACACGATGGCAACACTTAAATTAAAAAAAAAAAAAAAAAAAGATGCAATTATAACAATTAAAAACATATAAAATGCAGAAAAAGGAATTATTTATAAATAAAGTTAAGCATGTCTAATGATAACTTAACTACAATTTCTATATGGAGTTTTTTTAAAACACGATTTTAAATATGGCGAGCCTACAAAATTACAACATTATTTAGTTTTAGATTCAGATCCCACTATACAAATAATACTCAGCATTTCAATCTTTTCAGCTGTTAAAAAAGTTGCATTCTTGATTAGTCAAAATTTAACTAAAGAAGAAGAATAAAGAAAAAAAAAAAAAAAACATAAGCTTTACATCTAAAGTTGCCAAATTGTTGTGCGAAAGAATTAATCCACTGATACTATCATCCACGGCACTGTCTGCACTATTTATGAATTTATTCGTCTTTTTTACCATTGTCGTTGCAATTTCAATTACTGCTTTTCCTGATGATAACAAAAAATTTTGTCAACGTTAAGCAATAGATTTTGGAATAGATAAATTGTCAAAAACACGAAGTTTAACAAAATTAATCCAAAGAAAAAGTTGGACATGCAAGAAAAACATACAGAAACAGGAAAGAAAAAAAAAAAAAACTAAAGAACAGTTTTTAAAGAAATTTACATCTAAAACAGCTGATAAAAATAGGTGACACAAACGTTCAAAAATCTAATCACCTAAGCTTTTCTGTGTTTAATTTTGAAATCAAATAAATTACTTAACAAATTGAGTTTTAATTACTGAAACATTCGTGATTTAATCAACTACATACAGATAACTTTCCGGAATTCGATAACACCTAAACTAATCGCTATGCTAACTGGATTTTACTTCTTATTTTACGGAAACATTCGTAAACGAGACAGAACCATCACGTGGTCATAGCTATAAAAGACTGCAATAATATCATACAAGTCATGTACACGTAAAATAAAGAACAACATGACAACACGTTAAATATCATACAAGTTTATTTTACAAGCCATGTAAAATATTAATTTCTATACAGACCACGTGAAATATTACGTAACTATAAGAGTACAAAAAAAATATATTATCATGGATATGCGAAATATTATAGAATTTTAGAAAAAAAACCGAACTGTTAGCGTAAACGATATCACGTAACCTGTACACGCATATGAAATATTATACAGTGTAATACTACGTGACTTACGTGTGAAATTCAACGCATTAACGAATAGATAAATCAAAGAACAACATGATAACAGGTAGTCGAAGTGCACAGACAGAGACCTATTCCCTCACTTTCCCTCCTTTTCCGTGTCCCTCCCTCCTCCTCGCACTCTCTGTCCCTCTCTTCTCCCTTCTCTTTTTCTCTTCCTCAAACAAAAATTGAGGAACTGTTACAGGCGCTTAGTTTCATTTTTTTTTTTTAATTTTTTCTACGAAATTTATTGAAATATTTTAAAATTGGAAAAAAGATTTATTCCTCACAAAAATAATTAAATGATTGTTTAATGTGTAAAACTTTCATAATTTTTAATTCTTTTATTTCAAAATATTTCAAACATTTCTAACTAATAATTAATAGTGACAATAATATGTTCAATAATAATAATAATTAATAATGATAATGATAATAATAATAATATGTTTTATTAAATAATTTCAACTTTAAAAAATAAATAAATAAATCACGATAAAAGCCATTGTTCTAGTAATAAAAGAACAAATTACAATTGTAAATAATTTATCAAATTTGTCGAATATTTCTTTTTCGATAAAATTTAAATTTTTATAAGTTATATTATTTTAAACTATTTCATTATGTATATTAGAGGGAAAAAAAAGGGTAAACAACTTTAGATTAAACGTAAACATAGGGGGAAAAAATCTAATAAATTTAATGCATTCATTATCTTATCAGCATAATTATTGATTAGTTTTGAGATCTATTGTAAATATTTATCAGTTTGTTTACTATTTCCTAATTATATTTTATCATAAAAGACAGTTTATAGTTATTCAAAATTAATTAAATGCTAATTAAATAATATAAAATGGAACGAACATTTATGTTTTACTTTTCTCTTATATCTATATGATGCACATTTTAATTTCTTTTTTTTTTAAAATTATTTAATCAGCTTCGTTTTTAATTTTTTTTTTTCGAGTAGTATAGCATAACAATCAAATTATTAAAGGAATAACACCGACTGTAAAAATTCTTTCCATTAATTCTTTCTCATACTTTTTATCAATCTCTGCCACTTAGTTTCTCGTACTTTTTATCAATCTCTGCCACTTAGTTTCTCATATTTTTATCAATCTCTGCCACTTAGTTTCTCGTAATCAACTCTGACTAGTCATAATCAATCTCTCTTAGTTTCTCGTACTTTTTATCAATCTCTGCCACTTAGTTTCTCATACTTTTTATCAATCTCTGCCACTTAGTTTCTCGTACTTTTTATCAATCTCTGCCACTTAGTTTCTCATACTTTTTATCAATCTCTGCCACTTAGTTTCTCGTACTTTTTATCAATCTCTGCCACTTAGTTTCTCATACTTTTTATCAATCTCTGCCACTTAGTTTCTCGTACTTTTTATCAAACTGCACCTCTTATCACTCTACATATTGCTATTAATATCTTATCAATGTTGTTTTTATCATTTCTCACAAATTTCTACTATGATATCTTTTTTCAAAAATTTTAATAGCTAATACTTTAAATAAAGAATGAATTGAATCGAAGCGAAAGTTTTATTATTATGAAACATAAACAGATTTAAAAAAGACGAGAAAGATAATTGAAACGATAGTTTTATCACATAATTTATACTCTTTCACACATACACAAACAAAGTATTACTTTGATTCTGTAAACAATAACATTAAATATCAGATTTAATCATTTCCGTTGTAAAGTTGAATTTGATAACATTGATAGCAAAAGTCTGAATTCAACATTTTTGAACTGAGCTATTGTTATTGTTATTATCTTCATCCTTAATCATTATTATATCATCATTTTCGTTATCATATTAAACCATCATGTTTATTATTATTATTATTGCTGTTCATCATCAGTAATTGTTATCATTATCATTATTATCATCATATTAGCTACTATTGTTATTATTATCAATTTTCATTATTTTCATTATATATTATCATTATTATCATCATAATAATAAATCGTCATAATAATCTATTATTTCCTTGCCTTCCTTTAAAATTCATCCATAAATTTTTTCTTTTCTTTTCATCTATTCCTCTTTCTTTTTTTCTTTTTTTTTCTTTTCACTTCAATGATTGATAATTGTATTTGGAAAAAAAAAAAATTTTCCAACAAATTTCAAATATTTTGAATGAGAAATGGAACATATTTTTTTTTTTTTTTATTAATTGATCAATAATAAATACTATTAAGAATGTTTCATTTATGTAGTCAAGACTTTTTAGAAGATATCTTCCATTAGATAAGATACTTTACTTTTTTCCATTTAATTTATTCATATTTAATCATTATGTGAAATTAAAATTTGAAATCTATTTAATCAAATATACAATATTTGCTTTCATTTCGTTCTCTTTTAGTTTTATATTAAAAATATGCATTAGCAATAAATAATAGTTATAAATTAATACAATATGGAATGTTTATGAATTGTTGGAGCAAATGGCGGTGATATTGTTGAGCTGACCGATATTTTCTTCAAAGTATTGCAGTAAAATGTTGTATTATTAGTTGCTGAAAATCTGCAATAAAAAGAAAGTAATCAAATTAAAAAAAAAGAATCACTTAAAATGGCTAATAATTTTTAAATTATAAATAAGCAAATATCAAGAAGAAAAAAAAAAGAGAAAAATAAATTGAAATTGTAAATTAAATAACATGTAATAAAACTTATTACACAACAATGAAATAATAAACAAAGAAAATAAAACTAGAGAAAATATTAGAGAAAAGAGAAAAAGAAAAAACAAATTTAATTTAAATAAAATTTAAATGAAATATTTTAAAATTAAAATATTTCACTAATATACACAACAAATTTCATTTTAAAAAAAATTTTTTTCTTCAATTAAAATTAAATCTGATGCAAAGTACAACAGCAATTTTTCACAAGTTTAATTATTAAAATGTTTTATTATAAAATTACTGATTAATTTTGTAATTTAATTTTTCATCTCTCATTTTTTCCCAGCTAATCGATAATAACCATAGCGTAAATAATGATAGTTGTTTACTGAGATGTGTTTTATTGATAAGAAAATTAATTTTGGAATAATCTCATTATTTTAAATCCTGTTATTATCATTTATTGTTGTTATTAACATTATCATTATCATTATTATTATCATTATTACCATTACTATTAATATTATTTATTATTATCGTTTACTATTATTATTATTATTTTTCTTTACATTCATTACAGTTTAATTACACAATTAATTCAAATTTATTTTGCATTTTTATTATATTTAATTTAATTAACTCTCGTATTTTAATAAATTTATGATCTTCAATGAAATGCTTTATTTACGAAAACTATATTGTCAATATCTTCTCATATAACAATTCTTTCTCCTTTTGTTCAAAAATTAAATTTTCTGTTTAAATTTTCCATCATAATAAATGTATAATAAAATAAAAAATAACTTAAAATTAAAAAAAATAAATACAATTAATAACTAATAAAATTAATTTAAACATCTTTCCAAATTGAATTTCTGAATTATTTATTAAAATTCATAAAAAGCATATGAAGAAAAAGAGAAAAAAACAAAAACAAATAAATCAGTAGCATCCGTCATACTTTTTTCCCATATTTCCTGATTGCTGTTCCGTAATATTAGATATTTCCGGGCTAATATCATCTGAAGATTTTTTCTCTTTTGATGTGGTAATGGCAGCTTTCATTGCTGCAGAAATAGTTGTAACAATAGGTTTTACTGGTTGTACCGGTACAACTGAATAATTCTTTTTAGCTAATTAATTTCAATTATTCCAATGCAAAGAGCAAAAATAAAAATTTTGTTTAATTTAAATAAAATTTAAATTTAAATTATCACTTTCTAAATTTCTGAAATTATTACTTTCTTTTCAAATTATATGATTTATTTTATTGACATTTTATAATTTATTCTAAACTTCTTCTGAAAATTCTTCCCAAATTATATAATCTATTATTGTTTTATTTTATTTTTTCTTTATTATTATACTGCACATTATTGCTTTGCCTAATTTTTTGGAATTTTTTTAAAGAGTAAAAATTTTAGAATATGAAAATAAAAGAAGTTTAAAAAAATATAATAATATTATTACTTTGTGCAAAACAAATATTAATAAAATTTTCCTATTTTTATTTCTCTATTCTTTCTTAATAATTTATTAAATTTAATTATTCGCCACATTTCATCGAATATTATATTATTAGAAAAATTTTTACTTTAAACAATAGAATTTTAATATAAATATTATTAACTTATACTGCATATTATTCATTTCGTATATTTTTTTTAAAGTTATTAGTCTTATAGTTATAACTAAATAATTAACTTATAATTAAGACAAAGAAAAATATAAAAGTAACCTTTTGGAAATTGTTTGTTAACTCTTTCCTTGTTTAATGATGGCTTAATGATATAATCGCTATCATTATGATAATAATTAGATTCATTATCATCTGTACTAGTATTTCGAATAATATTAGTTAGCCTATTTTCTTCATCATTCGTTATCTGTAAAAGAAAACAAATAATTTGTCATTTAAACTTGTAAATAATTGCTATACAAATAACTTTTCGTCTACAAATAAAACACAAAAAATAATTATTAAAAAGTAAAAAAAAAAAAAGAAAACAAATATTATATACAGAAATATCATAAAAAAGAAATTAAGATAAATTATTTCATTACTTTTTTTTTTTTTGTATCTTTTTAAAACCAATTTATATTTCAAATTACAGTCTAGCAGAAATAATTTTAAATGCAAATTATTTTAGTAAAACCTCTTTTAATTGTTGAGATGCTTCAACAGGACAACTAAATGAAGTTTTTGATTCATCCAATTCAATATTTGCTTGTAAATTCCATTGGACATGTCCTAATGGCTTGTCACGTTTTTTCAATTTACGATTATCACTATCATATTCACCGACATACTGTAATGTATCATGATTGTAAGTAATTGTAATAATTATAAGTAATTATGTCACAAATGAAATAATTCATCCTATAACATATTATTATAATTAATTATTTCGAATGATAAGTAATCATTATAAAAAGTAATATTATTATAAGTAGTATTATTTATCTAAATTAAGTTACAAAAATTGATTAATTACAAATGAAATAATTCATCCTATCATATATTATTATAATTAATTACTTTGAATGATAAGTTATCATTATGAAAAGTAATATATTATAAGTAATAAGTAATATCATTTATTTAAATTAGGTTACAAAAATTGCTTAATTATAAATGAAATAATTCATCTTACAATATATTACTATAATTAATTACTTTGAATGATAAGTTATCATTATAATTAATCATTTCAAATGATATTTTCGTATTCCTATTTGATAGTATTTGAAAAATATACTGATAATAACCTGTTGAAAGCTACCACCCCAACTAGTATATCTCCAAAGACCATTTTGCTTTGCATTTTGCACTCTTTTCCTGCATTCCTCAAATTGCCTAATTCGTCGTAATCGTTCATTTTGATATTCCTACAAAATTATTTCATCGAAAAAATGAGGAAAAAAAAAGTGAAAATTTTTAAATTAAACAATTTTTAAACCAAAATTACTTTTTTTTTTGTTTCAATTTGTGGTAAAAATTATAAAAACAATTATTAACAATATAAAATACCAAAATATACAAATTTCAATTTTGTCATTTAAATATCATATTCTTATCTATTATAATTGAAATGATTATTTTTTATCAAAATTTTTAATAATTTTTTTTTTTTATTAGCTAAAGCAAACAATATAGTAAAGTAAAGTTAAGTTATTTATATATATACTTTAAGTTAATTGATAAATACAAATTGTGTTTTAAATTTATTTTGACAAATTGCTTTGCTTTATCATTATTTCTCGAATAAACACTTGCATTCGTTTCATCATTCAAATGAAAAAAAAAAAAAAAAGAGCAAAGAAAAAAAAAAATTATGAAAAAGCCAATAAATTGACGTAAATCAAAAGAGGGTGAGAGAGAGAGAGAGAGAGAGAAAAAAAGATGAATAAAACAAAAACAATCAATCAATCAATTGATAAGGTCAACAATGATTGTTGAAAATAAGCAAAATTCATTTAAACATATGACTCAAGAAAATATAAAACTAAAATTGGACAAAGTAATGAAAGTTAATTCATTATTTTTTTTATTAAATTTTTCAAATTTGTATGAAAAAGCATAAAATTTTTTTTTTTAAGTCATAATTTTAATAAAAATAATTTTGTTAAAAAAAAAAGAAAACAACAACAAAACAATTTTAAAATCGAACTAAAAGTTTATTTTGTTTACAATATTTTTTAATACGTTTTTAACTTTCATAATGTAAGCGTAAGTATAAATAATGTTATTTTGAAACATTTTATACGCACTTGTTAGATGTTAAATTTGTTTGATAATATCTAAAATTTTTATAATTCCACTTTTTTTTTTTGCTTTTTGCTTTTTTTTTTTTGAAAAAATTTATTAAATCAAATTTTATACAATATAATAAAATTGTATAATTAAATTTCACATGAATTCACTGGATTCATTTTGTGATAAATTTACTATAATTGAGTAATCATTTGTAATTCATACTTAATTACTTTACTTATTTACAATGATTTTATGGCATATTTTCATTTCATTTTATAATTTCCACCAATGCTTTCTCCTAATAAGTATTAAAATCAATTTAATATTTATTACTTAAAAAAAAATAGGTAGGAAAACGAAAATTACCTTCAAGTATAGGCAACATTTGATAACGGTAAAAAAAATGTAAAGTTGAAATGCAGCAAGAATAAGTAATAATGTAGCTAACCACATCCGTTCCAATAAAGCAGTAAGCTGTAAATTAAAAAAAAATATATATTTTTTTTTTGAATTAAAAAAATTTTTTTAATAAAAACTTTTTTTTGTTTAATGTACCAAGAAAAAAAAAATTTTCTTAAACAATACAATTATTGATTAGAAACAATTTTAATTACTATTTATATTGTTAAAATTATTATTTATATTGTAAAAATCTATTGAAAATTAAATTTTATCAAATGATATTGAGTGATAAATGATATCAAAAAAAGAATTGATAATCTCAATTTTTTTCACTTTTTTTTTTTGGAAAAAAAAAACTGCCAAAATTTTCAATTTTCAGTAGTAAAACATAGAATTTATGTTGTGCAAATTGTTTAAACTTTTATTTTTTCTCTTTCTTCGTTTCTTCGTTTTCTTTTTTTCTTGAAATTACATAATTAATTATTTGCTTTTCTTATTAAAGTACAAAAAATAAGAGTGAGAAAAAAATTTTTTGAAAAATTAATTCAAGTTAAAAGAAGTTTTTTTTTTTTAAAAAAAAAAAGATTTTACAAGTTTCAAATATGTGCATTTCTAAACATCCCGGGCAACTGTCAAATAATTTCTAAACATTGAAGAGTTATATCGAATGCTTACATTAATAATGATAGCAATACTTTTGTAAGTGGTTGTTATCTTGTTTAATTAATTTTAAATTTTGAATTAAACCAAAAAAAAAAGGAAAAGAAAGAATTAATTAATTAATCACATATAAATATGAAATTATAGTAAAAATATTATAATGAAATTAATTAGCATTACTAAACTAATATATTGTATCTTTTGAGTGTTATCTATAACATATAAATTTATGAAAAAGCATAAAAAATAAAACTTCATCATTTTATTTGTGCATATAAAATAAAAATTAAGTATTATTATAATATAATACATATATAAAACTGAATTTTTTTTTAAATCTAAAAAAAAAGTACATATGAAAAGAAAGTGATAAAACAATTAGAAATAGAAATATTTATTACTTTTTTCAACTGTAGTACTATTTTCAATTATAGTGCTCATATTTATGATTTGATAAGGTGTAAAAGTTTAACAATCACTTCAAAAATAATCAAAAATTTTTAGAAATACTAATAAAGTGCGAAAAATTTTTTGAGTAAAATAAAATTTTAAAAAGTTAAGAAAAAAAAAAACTAACGTCGAAAGTTTTTCTTTGTTTGTACAAATCGATGTAGAAATAACTGCGTGCATAAAGAACAAAATAAGCAAGGGATGAAATTAAAAAAATGCCTTGTATTAGTAAATGGGGTAATAATAAAAATGGTGATTTCATTAAAATTCCCAGAAATAATAATAAAACCTGAAATAAATATAATATATGTTATATGTTCTTAAAAATTTTATAAAGTTTAAAATGATGAAAAAAAGAAAAGCAAAAAAAAAAATTTTAATTATGATATAAATATTAAAAAAAAAAAAAACAAACAACTAAACAAGCTTTTTTCTTGTTTTTATTTCAATTACTTGTTATTTAATATATGTTATCAATAAAAAAAAGAAAAAAATCATTATATGAAAATTTAAAAAAAAAAAAAACAAACGAAAGTAGTTTATAATAAAAGACAACAAAATAAGTTTGCATTTAAATAAATAATATTGAGTTTAATTAGACTAATTACAAATGATAACTTATATAATTTATTTGTTAGAAATAGGAAATTAAAACAAAATAATCATTGAAATGAACTTACACATATTGCAATGGTAAACAATAGCAAGGCAATGAAATAATCACCAGCAAGTGTCCAATCAAACGTTAAAGAATTGCAATCTCGAAATAATCTTCAATATTATATATTTCAAAATTCTAATTAAATTACTATTGCATTTTTTGAAAATGTCATTTTAAATTAAATTTCATTTAAATTTTATCCAAATATTAATTACACCATCGAAAAAATGCATAAATTGTCTTCCTGTATCAAATTTATGAATACAGTACTCTCATGAAGTTAAATTTACTTTTGAAAATTTGAAAAATTGATTAAAAAATTTGATTGATATTTTCAGATCACTGCAGTGATCATTTAATGAATGGATAAATCCCCCATTTCCTCTTTGTTTATATCGAGAATAATCTATTTTGTTATGGGTTTCCTACTGTATTAAGTCTATAAGTACAGTACTCTGGTGAAGTTAAATACACTTTTGAATAAATTAAACTTTAAAAAATTTGATTAATACTTTCAGATCACTGCTTTTTTATCTCATAATGAATAAATATTCCATTTAATTTTTTTCGAGAATATTTTATTTTGTTATAGGTTTCCTACCGTATTGAATCTATAAATACAGTACCCCAATGAAGTTAAATTCACTTTTGAATAAATTAAACTTTAAAAAATTTGATTAATATTTTCAGATCACTGCAATGATCACTCAATGCATAAATCCTTCATTTTTTTTTATTTACATCTTTTTTTTTTATGACTGCCAATGAATCAGAGAATTGATGCATTTTTACTAAGCATACCAAGCATCATTCATCTATGTAAACTTTTCATTTTTTCTCTTTCAAACAAAATTTAAAAGATTCATTCTTTTTGCAAAAAAAAAAAGAAGTCGAAATTTTTTTATTCTTATTCAGAAGACAAATTCAAAAAAAAAAAATAAATAAATAAATAAAAACTAATCTTGAATTTACCAACAATTCATCATTCAATAATAATTTCTAATTAACTTTAGTTTTTATATGGTGTAAATTTATGACTGATATTTCAATTTAAATACAAGTATTTCGATTATAATTTATAATTCTATCTGTAATAAGCAAACGTATTGTTTACCTGAATGCTAATTTCTCATCACAACTGAATTTCCGACTTTTGTTGATTATTTGTGTAAAGATACCGCTCAGAATCAGTGCAACAGCGATAAGCTCTATTAATCCCAAAATAACAATACCGAATTTGATATGCCAACAGTTGCAACATGTTTTCACTTGTTTTGCTTTCGCAGCTGCAGCTGCAGCACGCTGCGTTGTTGACATTTTCATCATTGTAAATACAATTACAACGATTGCACGAATTTGCTGGTACTACATATCAGTATTCATATAATTATAAGCTCTGAAATAATAAAATAGAAATAAAAACGAATACCTCTGATAGTATTAAATATTGAAATTAAAATATTAAAAATTTTTAACCAAAATTATAATTTATTCGTTATAAACTTTATGCGTCTAATCAATTACTTGTTAAAAATACACGAAGAAAATTGAATTTAAATATCTAAAATATAATTAACCCATGTTTTTCTTATGCTACATTAATTATATAAACTCATTCAATAAATATGAATTTTTTTAATTCCTATTAAATAATAATAAATTTTTTTTCTTTTTTTTGGTGAAATTTTTGTGCTTTAAAAATCTGAAAATAAACTTAGAGAAGATTTATCAGAATAAATGATAAATAAAAAAGAAATTGAAGAAATTTCACAAAATTACAAGTATTTACATTCTTTTTTTTTCAAGTTTACAATAGCTATATGTAAGTTATAGTTTAAAATGATAAAAGTTCAGAAGTTTATTAAAAAGAAATAAATTTTTGAAATGGCTAATCTATACAGAAGCATCCGAAAGAACGAAATATTTACAAAATGTTAGTAAATAGAAACAGTTCTGTTAAAGTTACTTTGCAATTATAAAAAGAAAAATGTTAAATCTGAAATTGCTAATTAATCTTTAATCTTTTATTTGAAGAAAAAAACAAAATGTTTTAATTTAAATAAAACTCAATACGATTTATCACAAATTTTAGATGAATATTTTAACTTACTAAAATTTGTCTGTGAAATACTATACAACAAATGCTCGATAACTTTATAAAATTTATCAAATAGCTTTATAAATTATTGTTGTGTGAAAAACAATTTTATCTTAATTTCAAAGTAGCAATAATAAATTTAAAATTTTTGCAAAATATAAAAAGAAAAATTGAAAATGATAACTTCAAATTGTTGATTTACACAATGAATGAAAATATAAGCAAAACTTTTTACATTTTAACAATTTATTTATCTTTATGTGAAAATGATAAAAGTAAAAATAAAACAATAACAAATTAATTGACAAATTAATGTCGTTTAGATAGAAGTTTCAAAAGATAAACTTTACAAAAGTGAGAAAAAAAAAACGAAAAACGAAAAAGAAATACGTCAATTTCACATTTTTTATCTTTGCTTCTTCCTCTTCTTCCTCACATCTCTCTTTTATTTTTAATCACTTAATCATCAAGAGCAGCTGTTTAATTGATATCAGATGAACTTTATATTTCTATTGCTTGCAAGATGAAAGAAAAAAAAAAGAGAAGTTTTGGTAGCAAAATTGTGAAGTGAAAGAATTAGAGCAAAACAAAAATTAAATCAAATCAACTTAAAGCTATTCGTTTCCATTCTTTTTGCTCAATATTTAGAGAAGATGAAGGTAAGGAATGGATGGACTGATAAAGAGGTGATAAGAGAAAGAATTCAAGAAAAAAGAAAAAATTGCTTTGATAGTCATAATTACACAATATATTAAATTATATTTTGAAATTATATGCATATATTAAGAAAGAAAAGTTTGGTTTTATGATAATACTGATAACGTAATCTTTTTTTTTTGATACTTTCATATTTGATAATTATTAAATTTGTTTCATTCAATTTATCAGCTCGCATTGATTACGTCTAAAATTTTTTTTTACAAGATAAACTTGTTGGCAAATATATATATAACTGATTAAGGTCATTAGCTTAATAGGAAAAAATAACAGTATTATCTTATCAGTGTATGAGTTATCAGTAACAAATGAGACTGATAGTGATGATAATGATAAATTTTAACTGACAAAAAAGTTAGTGTGAAAAAAAAAAGGGAAAGAAAAATGTTAAGTGAACATAAATTGTGCAAAACTTAAAATAATTAATTATCAATGATAGTTTTATGGATTACTTTAAAAAAAACATGTTATCATTTAAATATAATGAAAATTTATATATTTTTTTTTGCTATTTTTATTTGGATTTTAAAATTAATTTTTTTTGAGCAAAACTATAGGAAAAATGGAAGTACAGAGAGAGAGTGAGAGAAAGACAAAAATAGGAAGTTCAAGAAAATCAATTCTTATCTATCATCCATTGTGGTTATTATCATTATCCTTATCACTACAATGATTATTACGATTGCTCATTATCAGTTCTAGCATTATTATCACTTCTTTATCATCTAACATTAATATGATAACTATTACTTTTTTCAATGTGCTTTTGGCTTTCTTATTTAATTTCTCTCCATATTAGTTATCATCAGAAAATCGTATTTCACTTTTAATAAATAATTCGTTACTATTATAATCATTATCCTTATCAGTGTATTAATTGATATGATAAATATATTTCATTATATCTTTTTTTTTCAATAAAAAAAATCAAAAGAAGTTGAAATTGTGATATTTCATAGATAACTGGAAATACAGTATAATTTAATAATTTTATTTACTGACAGTCCATTAGAAATGAAAAAATGAATGATAAACGTCACAACGTTTCATCTATTGATGGTTTTTATTATATATTTATTGTTTATTTTATTTGATCTCTTTTTGAATTACTGATAATAAGTGAGAAATGCTAATTTTAAAAATGTTATTTCTTTCATTTTATTCCTTTTTCCGAAAAAAAAAAATGATTTTTAATTGTATGAAGGAATAGAAGAAATTTCCTAAAATCTTAGATATCCGACAACAAAAAAAAAATGGAAATTTTAGATGCGGAAGAGGTAAAAGTGCAATCAAAGTTTGATACTGATAACAACGATAACAGCCATATTAGTAATCTGAGGAAGAAAAAAGATGAAATTGAAAGATAAATAAATGATAATGAGAATTATGCGATATGAAAGTTGGACCAAATTTAGTGAAATAAAAATTTAATTGAATAAAAGAAAACTTAGTTGAATAAAAATTATACAGCTTTCGATTTCAATTTAATTTATTTTTCATCTCAAAATTTATTTTGCTTTATATAAGCAATTATTGAAATTATTTCATGCTCTAAACAATGAGCAAAAATTGAAAATGAAATTGAAAAAGTAAGTCATCAGCTAAATAACTCACCAAATGTTATGAAAATCTTTAAGATTATTCATTAAAATTTTAGATTTTTTTTAAGGATTAATGTTGACAAATTTTCAATGAATTAAAAGTTTTATAGTTGAATTGTTGAATATTTGGATTATTAAACAAATGAAATGAAGAGTTGATGATGAGGTATAGCTTAGTGTCAGTTCATTTGAGCGAAATGAAATTTAAGATTGTAAATTGAAATATTTAAAGAATTGATGGAGAGATTCTGTTCCAGTTCCTCCTCAAATCATCGATCAAATCTAAAGTTCGTTCATCTCTTCATCATCGTCGTATAGCGCCAATGATTATTTCAAATGTTAATCAATATGCTCTGCTTCTTTCAGATTAAATGAATATATTTTAGTAAACTTAAATAAAATTTTAATTAAAATTTTACATTTATCAAGTTTAATTAATTATGATAATGTAAATTTTAATTTCGCTACAACAAAAGGTATGTAAATTTTATCAAATTAACTTTTTAGTATTATTATTTTTATAAAAACGTCTGAATGAAATATTATTATTTAAAAAAAAAAAAAAAAAAAAAAACAAACTAACTTATGTTTATTAAATTATTCAAGCTATAGAATTTTAATATTATGAGAAATATCAAGGTCATAAAATAAATAAATTCCTCTAGGATATAATTACATATGATCTTTTTTTTTGATGTATAAATATGAAATTTATTTATTGCTATCAACAAAACAATTTGACTAAAATATGAAATTTATTTATTGCCGTCAACAAAACAATGTGACTAATTTAATCTTAATCTGTTTAATCTTAATTAATTAAAATTCAAGTTTTATTAGTCATAACTGAATCAAAATTTGTATGCAAAAATAGTTAACAAAATGAAGAAATCAATGCAATACATAGAAATTATTTGTGATACTTAAAATTTTAAGCAAATTTATATTAAATGTTTAAAATTACAAAATTAGAGATACTGTAATCGATGATTTGTAAATGTTAAAGCTGATAAAATAGTACCGTGTAGCATATTCAAGAATTAATTCATATGAGATTACTGTATATTTACTTTTTATAAGCATATTCTGAAACAGATTTGAACAAATTTAAACTTTGATCAAATTAGTTTCTACATGTATTTTAATGGTATGAGATAAATTACATTTAATTAAGCTAATTAACAAATGACGCTAACAGTTTAACAATTTATTCAATCCTATTTTAATTAGTTTAGTCAAAGATTGAAGTATGGAAATTTGCCATTCTTTTCAATTTATCGCTTTTTTATTACATAAAATTATTTATTCATGTTTTTATTTTCCTTTTTAAAGCAAAAAACTAGGATTTATTTTAAAAAAATTAAAATAACAAGAATTTTCTCTTTTTCATTTGTAACAATAATAAAAGGTTAACACTAAGCTTAAAATGTATGATTGAATAAAATATGATCTGGAATTGTTGATCATTTATGATTATTATTTCTTTTTATATTTAATATTATTATAGCTTATTTATTAAAATTATCACTCATTGTTATCATTTTAAAAGATACATCCTAATGAATCTTGTAGTAATACATGAAAATTCTTAAAAATAACAATGAAAGTCAAGTTCTTAAGTCAGACATAGAGTGATAGAAGTAAAAAAAAAAATAAATATCATTTTTTTAACGCGAGAAATAACTAAAAATGAAGAAGATATGAAATTTTAATTTCCAATTAAAAGTATTTGCTACTTCAAAGTGTGAACTTTAAATTGTCACAGTTAAATTAAAAATATCATTGCTTTATCATTTTGACTTTCATTTTTTATAAGTATCTTTTTTTTTGCAAAAACTAGAAAAGTTCACCTTTCTTTGCTAGCCACCAATGATAGTTCAAAGTTTTTATGACTTTTAGTGCATTGCAAT